TTTGCAATTTTTCGAGTTGATAGGCCTTCTAAATTTTTTTCAATAATTTGCCAGCGAATGTGGTTTGAAAATATCATTTTTTTTGAATTCAACAAGAAATGTGCATAATTTATTTATATTAACCACCTGATTTTAAATTACGTATATATTACAGTACTATATCAATATTTATTGAATTTATTATGCCAAAAAAATTACTGGCCCGAAAAATTTTTTAGCTAATTTTTTTATAGGTGTCCCAGGAATAATGAAAACAGCTGTAATAAATATGTAACTTAAAGTGAAACGAATAATAGAGCAATATTATACGGTTTTTGTTAATTTTGTTTTATACAGTATATCTATATATTTAAGAAAAACATACTAAGAAATTCGCTTAGGAATAAATTATAAGCATTGTAAATAGTTATTACCGCCTTTTTTATTTTTTTTTAATTTAGTTCTTATTTTTACTGTATTTTTATTTATTTATTTATCTTGCAAATGGATTTTTACATAGTTATACAAAAAATAAAATACAAATCAGCGATAAGATATTAATAAATACAACTGACTCTTGATATAAAATAGTCACTGGGCCCAGCTAAAATCTTTCTTATACCGTGACTTTCTCATATCGAAGACTTTTTTATACAAATTTTCAATTAGAACTTGTAAAAACTTTTTTATGTATACTAGGAGTTTCTTATATCAAAGGTTTTCTATATCGTGAGTATAATTAACATAGATTTGTGTTATATTTTTTAAGTAAACATGTTAAACTTTTGAAGCATACGTACATCGTGTATATGCATATTGTCAATTATGATTTGGTTTGATTTTCTAATTGTGTTACGTTATACATGATATTGAAATATGATTGGATAGATCACAGCAGTTTACGAGGTTGTTGTTTATCTGTTTTTCTATTTTACAACATTAAAATTACGTGTTATAAATTATCACTCTATATTTATGACTATTATTCAATCTAATAACATAAGCTAGTTATGATTTTAAAGTTAGGGTTAGGATTAAATTTTGTTTATATCGAAGGAAATATTGTATATAAATTTTAATTATCTTTGATTTTTGCAAAAGCTTTTATTCACATATTACACTAATACGTATTATACTTCATAACATTTTTTACCCATATACTGTATGAGTGCCGCCACTGTTATCGGGCTTTCAATTTTTTTGTTTACAGTTAACTATCTAAAAATCTATTATTATGAAAATATAATTAAAAGTCCGATGACAGGTATTCCCTTGGCGGCACTTATATATAATATTAGATAACAGTATCAGATAATATATAATTAATGTTTTTATCGGAGTTTAATGCACACATGTGCATATGGCGTGACAACACTATTTCTGTTGTTTTTTTTGTCAATATTTATATTAAATTTTCATCTTCTGTCTACTTCGTTATTCATAGTTACAATACTGACTATATATAATGAACAAAGAAACCTACTTTGACTATGCAAAAAGAAAAAGATTACAAATCAACCTATATCATTTCTATCTATTCAATGCTTTGACAAACAAAATCGATTTAAAGAAAAGTATTAACCAAATAAAAAAAGAATTAAATGCAAAGTTTTATATAAATCAAAAAAAAACAACAAAAATTTCATTCAGTAAGTAATAATTGCTTTATTTATTATTTATATATAGTAAACAAATTGTGTAGCTACCCAGATGATGATTTATTCTAAATGATTTAATATTTAACTTTCAATATGTGAGAGTTATATTTTTATTTCATTTAACAAACCTGATATTTAGCTACACTAATATTTAAACTTTATAAGAATTAATTTGGTCAAATTAGACATGTTAATTTATACTAGTTTAAAGAATACAAGTATCACAGAATGCTTAGAACCCGATTATGTTCAAACTTTTACATTATTCATTTGATTAATCTTGGCATATGATCAGTGTGTAAATTTCTTCTTGTTTTCACATAAGACTACTTATATGCAGGTACTTTTATTCGCATGGTTGATGTTCTGATTGTCATGGAAAGTTTATGGTCTGCAAATTCTAAAGGAAGAATTTGTTCCTTTCTTAAACTCATGATGTTCTATTCAAATGAGATAAATAATGTAGATGATTTAGAACCGTATCTCCTTTGCATTACTCAGTTTAATATATTTAAATATATTAAATGGGGTTTTTGTTATGAGAAAGCACTATGTTTTATAAGACAAAAGCACCGATGATGTTGAAGTATTAATTTTAAATCTACCTAGATACATGGCTTCTATTTGTTATTTAATAATGTGAATGATCCATAGTAACTAGGATAGTTTAAAATTAACTTCTCTGTATATTTATTCTGAATCCAAAATTTATAACATATCTGAGTCTAAATTTGATTATAAATTTATGTGAAATTTATATGATTTGATTATATAATTGATTATTTAATTAATATAAAATTACAGATTTGATTACAGACTGAGCACCAAACTTGATTGAAACTACACAAAAAGCACATTCATATGTTCAGTTTGGTGTATATGTTGAAAACTGTGCTAAGAAATTAAAATGGTATGAAGTTTTAAACAGCACATTATATGAACCATTAGAGTTAGTTAATGCAAAAACGTGAATATTAAATGTAATTATTATTTTTTATATTTTTTAGTATTTTTATTATTAATAATATTAATATGTATATTAATTAATTAATTAATTAGTTACAATTTATAAATGTAAATCAAACCGTACAAACAATTAGCAAAGCATTCTCAAAAGTAGCATTAAGTTCGAATGACTTATTACTCTCTGGCATCCTTGATATAGAATCTTTGAACACCTTAAACTCACCTATTAAAGAAGCCTTACGTACAAAAAAATTATGGTCTGCTGTTAAAGAAGATTTAAAAATTAAACCATTACTTGAAGGCTTAAAAGAATTTATTATTAATTATGTTAATACTGATAATGCCCCAATATCAGCTCCATTTGACAATAATTTACTTTATAAAACTCGTAGCTTGATTGACGCAGTGTAAGTTTTATAAGCTTATTAGATTTATAACATTAGCTTAACTATTATTTTTAATTTTTTATTATAATTAATTATTATTATTATTATTTATTTGGCTAAAAGAAAAAAATTATGGAAAATGCCAAAGCTGCAATCATGCTTTGCTAATCTTCATGGAGCCACAACGTTTTACAACCAATAGTAAATTTTATTACAGATTACAAGGAGGCAGACCTTTGTATTAGATGGTAAGTTTAACTTGATCGATTATTAATTTAAGTTTAAACTAAATTTGTTGTAATTGCATAGGGATTCGGTTCAAAGCAAAGCAAGCTTAGAATGAAATAACTCAATAGGTCCAATAAAAAAACCTGATATTTATGGAGTAGTTGAAAGTGAAACTCACTCTGATCTTAAACTTTTATTGGGTGAAATATCAAATGGGCCATTTAACCAATCCCCTAAAGCTCAAAAGCACATGAAGGAAGAAAAAATCAAATTGTCAAAATGTGGCAAAGACGCGTTAGATTACATAATGAGAAAATACATGAAATCACAAAGCAATAATTTGGAAAAACTTAATGTTTTTTTACTTCATGCACATGGTTAATAACTTTATTTTTATGCATTAATTAATTAATTTATTTTAATCAAATCTAAAAGTTAATACTAAATTTATTAAGCTTTAGAAACATTTCTGGAATTTTTTATTATTGATAAAAAAATAGCACCATTTTCACGTTTAAGAAAACTAGAGACTCTTGAAATTCCATTTAATGATGGTTCTACACAAGAATTAATCAGATTAATTCAGGTATTATACACATTTAGCATTTATATTGATAAAAATTTGGAAATCATAAAGTTAATTGAGGAGGAATGTAAAAATATAAATGATAGCGAAGTTAGTGAAAATGGCGAGGAGGATAAGAATGAAAAAGATGATGTTGGAGTTGAGAATTAAGGTGAAGATATTATTGATAAAGGTAACGGTTTTGTTTTTATTTCAACATACAATACACCAAGAACATCAGTCAATTCTCAAAATATATTGTAAATTGAATATGAAAATTGCATGTATATAAAAAGTTACATAAATTTGAAATAAAACCTTCGTTTGCAATATTTGCTATTTCAAGCTTATAAAAATACAGAGAATCTTTCCTAGTTAAAAAGAACCAAGGTGGTCAAATAAGTATTTATACAAAGAGCTTCCGCTATTTCTTTGCCTCCTCTAATTCCAAGTTCATTATCAGCTAGATTTAAAGTGGTTAGGGTAATTACATCTTCAAAGGTCAATTGATTATAACTAATGTCTATAGTAAACATCTAACTTTAAAGAGGTTAATTGATTATCAGAGCACCAGAAATAGACTGCAATGCTGCAGTCATTTCAATTGACACTGGCAAAATGAACATCTTTATCAGAGGATATCAATCACCGTTAATCTTAGGAGGACATGAAAAGATGTCATTACCCAAGAGCCTCGAAGATCAAGAGGAACGATGGAGTGATTACATCTACTGTAAATATAAAATTTGAAAGGTCTTTCAAGACTAAAAAACTGGTAAAAGTTAAATTATCTCTTAGAAGACGAATAGGTAAGAAATATAGTCAGAAAATCACAGAGTTATATTTTCGTAATTCCTTCATCTCCAATTTTGTTCGAGTCAAGATCAAGAAGATAAAGTTGTATTTTCATAAAATGCCTCTGATAATGCCTTTGCTTCCATAGCGCCAAGTCCACATTTACGAAGTTTTAATAAAATTAATCTGATGTTTTTACTAAGAACATCTGCTATTGTTCTTACTTCTTCAAAGCTAAAGCAATTTGAGTAATTTATTACTGTCGATATTATATATATTATATATACCCGCATACTTAATTGTTTCGCTTGTACATAATAACATAGTAATTAAAGAATTCTTAACTATTTGAATCACGTTCTCATATTCTAAATTTGATTCATAACTTCAGTGTTCAATTACTTCATGACTAAGCCAGTTTTCGATTCTTCTTTCTAAATCAAGGCTGTCAATCGATGTTGTATAAGATACATATTTAAATAATAGCTTCTGTCGTTTGGAAGTGATATATTTAATGGGACCAATGAATCTTTTTCTTTAGCGTTCAATGATAGAAGGTATATTCTCATTAGTTTACAATCTCGACAATATGATAATGGTTCTCTCTATAATGTTGAGACTGCATTCCTACACTATTGACGGTTTACAAGACATGAAAATAAATCTGAATAATAGTTTTCAAGATTATTAAATATTTCAAAAACGTATTCATTTGGTAATGTTATCATTTTTAAATAGAGAGAACAAAATTTAAAATATATCAAATTTTCTTATGCTAGTGTGTTTATAGAAGATGGCGTATACTTGGAGTATTCGGAGGAAACTAAAAATACTTATTTAATATTTTTATACATAGGCGGACATTCGTATGATTGGCTGTTTAATTCAATTTAATTTTACATTATTTATACAGTTTAAAGTACTTTTTAAAAAAAAAGAAAACTACGAAGAATAAACAAAAAGAAGTATATAGAAAGTTTTATTAGGGTTGTAGGACTGCACTATTAAAAATAATCAAAATTCTTTTTTTTTGTATTTTAGTGAAGTTAGCACGGTGATAACCTAATTTTAAGAAGTCGTTATTATGCTAACTTATCTAAAACAAAAAAGAATTTTGATTATTTTTAATATAACCCTAATAAAACTTTCTATATACTTCTTCTTTTTTGTTTATTCTTGGGGTTTCTTTTTTTTAAAAAAGTACTTTAAACTGTATAAATAATTTAAAATTAAATTGATTTAAACAGCCAATCATACGAATGTCTGCCTATGACATACGTATGTACGTTTTTTAGTATTTGTATAAGCATGAGGATGAATGAGGTATAAAAATAATTCTTTTATTACATTACGGGTTGTTTTATAATTATAAATAAAATTTTTTAAGAAAGGCTTGTGATTTATATTGTATTTTTATGAATATTTCAAATACCATAGGGTCACAAATTTTCAGTTTGGACTATTATTTTATGTAATTCGGAAATAATACAAATAAGTTTAAATTAATAATTCAAATTTAATAATATTTTGTAAAAATTTTTATTATCTTTTAAATCCAAATTTAAAACAGTTAATAGATTATTGCTGTGAACATTTAATAATTATAAGCGATTACTATGAAAGAAGTTATTAATTTGAAAAAATCAAGTAATATTCTTATATAGAGTTTCTGGCAGGGACTATAGGAATTTCAAATCCTTTAAATAAAATCACATTTTTTCCGTGTCCCTGGTTTCTGGTATGTAATAATTTTACTCCAATTAAGACTAGGATATTTAAAGTAACATTTATACAAAGTGGTTCTTCTATTTCTCTTTATCTCTTAGTAACAAAGAATTATAAAAAAAAAAACAAGAATGTTAGATCAGTGTTTTTACAAAGAGTTTTGCTAATAACTTGCATTCGTTATTGTCAAGCCGACCTCTACTATAACTAGGATTATTATCATTAATATTTAAAAGACTAAGTGAAATTTTTATAAAGAGTAATACGAATAGTTGTGGTGTATGAGTGAGCAAAGAAGTTGTGCATAATATATTAAATTAACAACCACAGGTGTATTTATTTTTGAATCCAGACCAAAATATTATTACATCATATATAAAATTGGCCTGAGTTCAAAAATAATTATTCATATAGTAAGCAAATATCATATACGTACATTGTGAGGGGCTCCTGTGACCCCAAATTCATTATTTTTTCTATTTTTATTTTTCTTTACTATTTTTATATCTTTGTACCAGTTATATCATATGTATGTAGGCTTAGTAGAATTAGGCAATATAGTAATTACGTAAACTTGAGACGAAATAAGAATCCATACCTGTTTTGGTAGGACCGAATCGCGAAAATTTAATAAATCAAATCTAGTTGATTTATTAACTTTTCAGTGAAGAAAACTTGTTGGCATATGCAAAGTTAGTTGCAGAGCCATTAAAGCCATAGAAATGTAAAAACTATATAAAGCAATGTTTTCACGCTAATAAAGATAACTCTGATGAGTTCTAAAACTCTAAAAACTTCGAAATCATTAAAGTAGAAGTTGTTCCTTAAAACATTATACCTTGATACCAAAAATTGTCCCCAATAAACCGCGCATTTCCCTATCCAAAATTATTGCTATTATCGAAAGTTTAAATCGATCAAACGAAAGAAATCGCATTACTACCCTTATATAGTAAATCAAGTAGATCATCCCGTGACCTCATTATTATCGCCAAATTTCCTGTGACATCAAAATCTCGTGACGTAATCAGTAATTGAAAATCTAATCATGACATAGTAATAGTTGATAAATTGAAGGCTAATATCTACTCGTGACGTATTAATAAATTAAGCATCCGATCTCCGTCGATAAAACTCTTACCCATGACGTAGGAATCTCAGAATCAATTTGAATATTAAATCTCTGACGGCAGCCAGCAGCCGTTGGAACGTAACACGTAACTTTAAAAGAAGCGAACATTCTAAATTGAAGAGATAAAAGATATTGTTGTACAATAAAACAACTAAGAAATAACAAGACCCAGGGACACTTATATTAACTCCGGTAACATTCCAAGACCCCAATGGACCTTGTAACTCGGACCAAGGAGTCTTGAGACTACTTTTAGAAGTCTTAAAGTAGTAGATTAGATAGTTTTAATATTATAGCTTAGTTATTAGTTTAGTTTTAGCTTTAAAGTAGTTATTCACACTTTCTCAACGTATGTACGAAATTAATGCTTTTATAGCCGTTTGACACAGAGGTGCGACGAATCATTGGAAGTGCCAAAATAAACCTTATCAATTAACTATCTTATTAATGCTTATTCACCGCACCTCAAGATCCTCCACGCTTCTATGCCAAAATTGAAAGGGCCGCTTATACATAATAAACTAATTCTATTTTAATAAGATGAGTCTGTAACGTTGTAATTTACAGTAAAGCCTGATATAGTTGTTAATTTGCAAAAGGTTACGATCATAACAATTATTTTATTTTTTTCTTTTAAAAAGAATTAAAATCACTATTATTTTAAAAAGAAATGATGATACCATCGAAGGATATTAGTTCTAACAAAGAGTCTGTTGGTTTTGTCGATTAATAGCTTTTTTGGTGATGAAAACTTTTTCAAAGAAATTAATGTCGCAATTAGAATGTTTAATTATAGTTGTCCAAAAATTATCCATGAAAATCAAGTGCAATTGTATTTGAAAAGAAAAACAATATGCAATTAATTAAAAATCTATTAATAAAGCAGATTATTTTGTAATGTTAAAGATATCAATACATGTAAAATTTTTGCTGCGAAAAAGCAATCTATAGAAGTACGAACGTATTGTACATATTATTCAATAAAAATCTTGATTTTTGTTACAGCTATTTCATAATTCCTAGAACACCTGATAAAAATTGGCCGAATGATTTGTAATTTCGGCACGATCCGTATAATAAAAACTACTTTTGTTCATAATGACTGTTTTACAGACCGTTGTAACAATAATGTCAACATTATTAAACTTTCGTTCGAATGCTAAAATGCACTATATATTAATTAGACTTTTATAATAAACATATTGCATGAATCAGATGTCAAAGAAGATCCTGTATATAAATAAATATTACTTTTATTTGTATATACAAGTTGGTTAGTAGCCTTTCAAATTGTCATAAAGTCTAACTAGAGTAATTCAGTGTACGTGGTTCTGAAAGTAAGCTTTTCAATACATCCATATTTTGAAAGTGCTTAAGAACCCGACTTATAAATGATATACTAAGCCTAAGTGTTTCTAAGTGTTTGGTAATTTTTCGAAATGATAGGCCTTCTAAAATTTTTTTTTAATATTTTCCAAATTATCATATTTCTGCATTTTACCAGAGATAAAATATTCAATATTTATATTAGTAACTGATCTTAATTACATATATATATGAATCTGTTATGCCGAATCACAAACTTAATCGAATCAGCCAACTTTTATCAGGTGTTCCAGAAATTATGAAAATAACTGTAAACCACTTTTAAATGATTTATTACCAACCCATCCGTAGATACGACCATACTATTATATATATATAATGAATATATTATTATATGTTAGTTTTATATACTCAAATGTGATTTTTGTACATAAACCTAAGGACGGACAAAATTGGTATAATTGGTATAATATCGGTATAATACTACTACAAACCTACTACAAAACATAAGGTTATTATACAAAAATTTCCCTACCATACGACTTTTCGTAATACCGTTTTAGAAATGACAATTTCAAGTGTTTTTCCGCCTCAAAATTTAACTCATTATAACTAAAAATATAGTAGTATTTTTGCAAAGTTTCATAAATGCTTTTATTCATTCATCGCCAATATTATCTGAGGAAATATTTGGTGATGAAACCTCTGATAAAACCTTTACTTTCTTAGAACTAAGTCCATAATCAAAAAGCTTTAATAATATTTTTGCAAATATCATCTGCTAGTGCTTTTGCTTCGTCAAAGCTAAATCCAATTTGAGAAAAAACTAACAAAGTAATTGTATGTTTATAAAGAATTTATAATAATATCTTTACCAATTTATTATTATTGATTTCTGATTTATCTATGTATATGTTTAATCTTTCATTTGTCCGAATAACTTTGTAATTAAAGAATCCGAATTACATTTTCAAATTCCAAAATTTCTTTCACAATATTATTCAAAATTTCAAGTTCATTTCCCTCAAAATAAAGCAGTTCACGATTTTTATTTTTAAATCTACAGAGT